TGACGTGTTGGCTCAGTGCACCCGCTCGTACATGCTCGCTCCCGTGGGGTTACTTTTAGGCTTGTGTTGCTTCTCACTTAGGGGTCAAATAAAAATATCTGTGCCGTTCAAAGAAATCTCCCGAATACTTTTGCAGCAAATGTCATCGCGAGAGGCTGCGCTACAACCTTCATCTTGAAGACTTTTCAGACAATTTGAAACATTCACGGAAAAGAAGACAATCAGGAAATCCGGTCTGTCACACATGAGAAAAAAACATGGGGGAAGCCATTCAGACATGAGGCCACATTGGTGAACCTTTCTGAGGTTGATATTCATTTGCTGTTGTTTTGATGATGCTATCATTGACTCGTTGTCAGCTCAACCAAACTTATATCCGACATGTGGCCTCAGTGATTGATAGTCAACGTGAGAGGATACGTGAGACAAGATGGCGGCGCCCATGTCTTCTTCTGTGGCTGCTTTGGCGACCGATGCTTTCACAAACTCGGACTAAACACAGCATCAAAACAAGTGGAATATAGAGATTAGCGGAACATATTGTAGCTAAAGCTAACTGGCGGCCGCCATTTTGTGTTGTCTCCGTGTTGAGTTTCCCACCGGTAGAGGCTGCCCGAGGAGTAGCAGCGCCATCGATCAGAACTCCAGCTTGATGCTGCCAAATCAAATCGGATTGCGCCATGGAGTAATTCTTTATTCTCATCATCTGGATTGTTGATATGTACGTATTGAGAGGCTAGCTTAACTGGAAGAATTTTAAGCATTTGAATTGTCATTCAAGTGTTTTGTTGATGAAATATTTAAGATATCCTTTATTTGTCCCACACTGGGGAAATTTACATTAATTTAATTTATGCTTAAGACGATTGATATCGGCAATTTAGAATGACTTTTATTTGCAGAAATTTGCTATTTATGGTCAGGCCCACAGCTCCAGACTTTCTATCAGCGCAGGTTTCTCAGGCTGTCATATTGGAAACCATCATCTTGAAATCTTACCCGTATCTTCGTGACGCTATCCGCTCTGTTATGCTGCAGGGCTGGTGTCAGTGCAAGTTTAAGTGTTTCCATGCATACAATAACAACACACCCTGCAGCAAACGCTGTGCGCAATTCATACCGTACTCGACAGGAAAAATGTAATTCACATATATCATCCAGCTTTCAGACACCTATTCGATTAGGTGGATTTATGTTACACCAACAGATAGTCTGGACAGGAACAACGGTCGTCTACAAAGTATATTTACACACCGTAATTGAATTGTACACACCCGCTCCGCTTTTATACCATGCACGCTACTTTTGTGTGTTTCAAACAGAACCATTTCCCAGGTTTGTTTGATTTATTTTACATCGTGACTAGCTAGCGTGGAGGTCCGCACAGCTGCCTGTCACGCGGCCGGCACGGGATGGATTTCCACACTCATAATCACCCTGCGATTGACATGCGACCGGCCTGGAGAGCGATCTGGCTTTCAACCCAAGACAGCTAGCACGAGGCCATGTGGTGACCCGCGAATAAGCTAAGCGGTCTACTCTCTGATGACGAATAACAAACACATCGCGACCACACAGTTTAGGGATCTTTATTTCGATGGAGAAATCGCTCTCTCAATCAAATGAGAGTATCACTGAAGTATCGTCATACCCTGCAAATCCGTCCTCCAATGCCGGGGTCCAATTGTAAATAGTGCTAAGGGTACCGAGCCGTGCACTTTACATGCTGAAGGGCCTACAGTGTCAGTCAAGAGGAAACGAAAGAGGCTCGTCCGTTCCCCGCTGAGTGATGATTGCTGTGTCGCAAAGCTATAGCTCTCTGAAGATATGCCAGTGGCCGGGTCCCCAAACAGGGGAGTCAGTGCTCGGAAGCATGTTTTGACACAGCAGATAGGGCGAGATTAAGTGTTGAAAACAAAACTGGCAGAAGACGATAAGGAATATCATTTTATTCACGCCCCTCCGCAACCTTGCTGTCGTATTTTTAGACTGAGCGTCAACGGCGGCGGCAAAAACAAACCGACGGGGGGAAAAAAAAAAACAATTGCGCCTTTGGTGACTTAATGTGCATTGACAGCAAAGGTAAAGAAGTGAGGACTTTTGCTGTCCAAACACGAACCTTGAAGTGACACGCATACGCAGAAAACGCGGTTTATGGAAGTCAGTGCGGTTCAGTCATTGTCATACATTTGTGGCAACTTCAAGAAGTTGGTGCTGGAACCGATCAGTCGCTCCTATAAAGATTTTTGCCACTGACTGTTTTGTGATACTTCATCCGTAGTTTTTCGGTCCTGTCTGTTTTGTCGAACAATTGTAATGTTTGTCGACTTTGGATGCACTCACATTGGATATATATATATATATATATATATATATATATACTGTATAAAACAAAAACAAAAACAAAAAGGGGACTTGACCTGGACATGATGCCCCATGTGTCGAAGTGCAAAATGAACAGGGGCTCAAGCCCCACTCAAGTCCTTAACACAGCAGCCAAGGATGTGAGAGCAGGCAAGTCCGCTCGTGTCCTCCTGCAACCTGGACAAAGTGCAGGTAGGGATCAAGCGGGGAGGTCGGGAAATTGGTTGAGAGAAGGGGGCGAATAGATGATAGGGAGGAGGATGGAGTAGTGAGCGAGGAAGAAAAAGGATGGATAATGAGGATGAAAGATGAAAGGAGAGAAGGCTTGGGGCTGGTCGGGAGGGAACAAATGGAAGTAGCTCAACTTACCCAGTCCTGTGCGCAATTTCCTACATGCATGTGCCACGAGACAACTTTTTTATTTTTTTTGACAGGCCGTTTCATCAAAACTGATATGTTCTTATTAAATCTGCTTGTTTGTAGGGAGGCACAACATCCTGAGATCTAGATTCGGTTTTGTCAAAAAAAAAACAAACAAACAAAAAAAAAACTTCCTTCCTGTTGTGAGCCTGAAAATGAACTTCCCCCACTCCTGCGTACGTTTAAATTGGGTCGAGCTCACTGCTACATTTTCTGAAATCGAAAATGTCATCAGCTTGCCTTCATTTTGCAATTCAAACTTAAACTTGACTAATTGACCCAAACCACAAGCCATTCGCTAATTTTCGAAACAATGTCCCATTTATTTTGACATTCGACAACTTTTACAGTGATAATAATCCCCGTTCGATCTTAAATGATGATTTTTGGCTTGATTCTTGACAGTGTCATACCAAAAATATTGCGACCTTCGGGGTTGCATATTTACAATACATGCAGACACGCAAACCGGATAAGTGACTGCGCTGGCATAATTGTGATCGAGGTGGCGACATTTTGGGCCTAACGCTGTCATTCAAACAGATGCTAACAAAGACAGGACATAATACGCCGAGAGCGGAGGAAAGTTGACTTTGACATGTGACGCGTGGGTGGAAATAGCCTGCTAATGAATAGACAGTGCAGAGGGCTTGCGGAAAAAAAACAAAAAAAACAAAAACAGGAGACGGCAGAGAAGCTACACGAAGCGTGCTTGTGCGGTAAAATATTGCTATTGTTAGGCATTGCTGGGAGAAAAAAGTGCCGCGATGCAGAAAGACCGTAAAATCTTGACAGCTTTGCGGTGGCAGTCTGACGGCTGAGCGGGGCGATTGGAGGGGAAATTGCGGCAGAGGCCCCTCTGTCGGGCCGCACCGGGGCTCGCTTTAACAAGTTCGCAAACGAGCGGCACCCGCTATCCAATGCAGGGAAATGAGGAGAGATGGACGGATGGCTGAGTAAGGCGCAGCCGGTTTTTTTTTTTCTCCCCCTTCAGGTCGCAGCACCTGTCAGGGCTGCATAGGCATGCATGGGATCGGATAATAGAACATCTGAGCTCCTTGGACAGGAGCTGGAGGGGATCTCGAGATTGGGATGTGGTTTCTGCAGTTATGTGCTGATACTAAGACGTGCTTCTGCGCACAGTTGGACTGCGTGCGCACTGGAAGACACACATCCCCTTTTTACCCGGCCGTTGGACATGCGGCGAACGTGATCGCTCACGTAACAATCCAGTCCGTTTGACTTTCAACACGTAAGCGACTATGCAATAAGATAAGATAAGATAAGAAAAGCTTTATTAGTCTCACAATGGAGAAATTCCCAATTCACAGCAGCAACGTTATGAATGGAAGAAGTAGAAGAACAAAATATAAGAGCTGCTGTAAAGGCAGCCACTTTCGCGGCGCCATCTTGAAGTCAAAATAACAAAATAATTCAACACAACACATAAGCACAATAAGCTAATCCTGAATCGCACTGGCACACGAGCATTAATTAATGCCTGCAAATGCCAAAATATGCCTCGTTTTGGACATAGATGACTTGAGGGCAAGCTAAGCTCCAAGGTCATAAACCGCATCAACCGCATCAGGGCTGCAGCAACAATATGCTTTGGAAACTACGCGGGAGTGAAAATGTGGAGTGAACATTTTTGACTGGGCTGTACGTTCAAACTTAGCGACAAAGTCGCTCGAACGTGCCGGTAAAATCGTTTGAATGTAAACATTGGTAAAAAGTAAGTACAAAATTAATAAGTAGTTTTTTTTTCCTAGAATGTCATCACGTTCAAAAAAACTTTACTGAATACGTTCGAACAACTCTACCAAATACGTTCCAAAAACATCACCATATACGTTGGAACGAATCTGCCAGAAGGTTTAAACAACTTTGTGGATATATTTGAACGATTTTGCAGTATGTTCAAAACTATTTTACAACACGCCTCAACGACAGCCCACAGTTCAAAATGAATCGACTTCGATGATTCATTTCTGCTGGTTAGCTCCTCTGAAATACCGCAACGTACTTTATGGAATAAAATGGTGTGTATTGCGTCCACAAAATGTCTTTTTGAACGAACCATCACTATGAAGGTCAAAAAGATGGTTTGTACGATGTCGGCATTGTGACTCGAGCAAAATGTTGCGTATATCCAGTGAAACACGGGCAAAACTGCCGGTTGCTAATACGTCCGCTGTGTTTCGCTGTCTTTTCAGGGGGGCGGTTCCTGGTCCTGATCATGTGGCTGAACTTTGCACCTCAAAGCGACAGCTGCCCTGCTAAGTGCGTGTGCTACAGCGAACCGCGGCCCACCGTGGCGTGCCAGCAACAGGGACTCTTTTCCATCCCTACCGAGATTCCCGTGCGGAGCCAGCGAATCTTCCTCCAGAGCAACAAGCTGACGGTCGTGAGATCCACCAGCTTCAGCTCTTGCCAAAATCTCACCGTCCTGTGGCTCTACTCGAACAACATTAGCCACATCGAGGCCGGTGCCTTCTACGGCTTGGAGAAACTGGAGGAACTGGACATAGGGGACAACGGCAACCTTCGCACCATCAGCCCGACGGCCTTCCGAGGTTTAACCAAGCTGCACACCCTCCACCTGCACAGATGCGGCCTGTCCGAACTGCCCGTGGGGGTTTTCCGAGGAATGTTCTCCCTACAGTACCTTTACTTGCAGGATAATAACATTTTAACCCTGCATGACGACACTTTTGTGGACCTTGCCAACCTTACGTATCTCTACCTGCACAACAACAAGATCAAGATCGTGACTGACAATATGTTCCGTGGTTTGATCAATCTCGACCGCCTGCTACTACACCAGAACCGCGTCATTTTCGTCCAACCGCGGGCTTTTGGCGATCTGGCCAAGCTGAAATCCCTGTTTTTGTTTTTCAACAACCTCACCGTCTTGACGGGGGAAACGATGGATCCGCTGAGCACCCTCCAGTACTTGCGCTTAAATGGGAACCAGTGGATTTGCGACTGTCGGGCCAGGACCTTGTGGGAGTGGTTCAAACGTTTCAAGGGTTCCAGCTCGGAGTTGGAGTGCGACGTTCCGGACTTCCTGGCGGGGAAAGACCTGAAGCGACTTAAGAGCGAAGACTTGGAGGGATGTGTGGAAACGCCTCAAATCCAGACCAATCTCTACACCTCCAAGGCCCAGTCCGGCAAGTTCCCCTCCACTGAAAATCCTCAAGGGGACACGATTCCCAGATGTTGTCTCGGCGATAACGACAAGTCCTCCATCCTGTCTGGCAAGAGTCGCCAAATTACTCACAACCCCTTGAAGGAAAAGGAGAACATGTCCAAGACGAAATTTAAGGATCCGGAAAGAACAAAAAATGACACCCAGAACAAGCAGAACGACGGGCCTCTTGGAACCTTATCCAACACCCTGGACAAGCCTCTGGAAAATATGAACCCGAACCTTATAGACAGTCTAGAATCTTCAACAACCTCAAGCAAAAAGAAAAAGAAATGCTCCAAAAAGCCGCGATCAGACACCCACTGCATTAAAGGCCGGGGCGCTACGCTGGAAGTGCTGCGCTTTCTCCTCATTCCCACGATCTGGATCTCTCTAGCCATGTCTTAGGACTCCTGATGTGATTCCAAATGCAGGACTGAAGATTGCGGATGCTCGTGACAATGATAAGAGAGGATGCAGAGGCATCGACAACAGGCAGTGACTGAAAAAGTGAGTTGCTAACATTCGCCCGAGAACAGAGGATGAAGACAGAGTGCGGGAAAACAAAATGGATGCCTTTACAGAACACAACAGATTTGATGTAAATAATGAATCGGTGCCCAAAATCGTTTGTTCTCTATGTACTGAACTGTATGTGTCGAAGCTACATTTTGGAGCGCCCCCCCCCCCCCCACCCCTTATTCAAAGCTTCTCCTGCTTCGAGAGTCCACCAAAAGAAAAAAAAAGAAAAAAAAGGACAAGCTATCCGACACAGTAAGCACACGACGAATGTTGGGTCCATTTAATGAAAACTAAGGAACCCCTGCCCCCACCCCTCCATTATTTATTGAAAGTGATGCATCTGTCGAGTAATGTTATGTTTGTTATGTTAAAAAAAAAAAATGTTGTTTTATCTTCCCCCATCTTTCTTTTAATTTTCAGGAGAGAAAGAATATATGGGTAGCATTTGCCAAAAAAGAATGCTGTCAATTTGTTTATTGCGACGGAATCATAGATATGCATTTTATTTTACTTGTGTACAAGTATGAATATATTATGAATAAAAGTTCTTATTTCGTAGATTGTTTTGTCAGCGTGTTCTTGTTTAATTTTTGACGACAACTCCATTCCACCATTTTACCATGACCTTAAGTCCTGCTTGGTAGTCCGATGCCGCTGTACCTCAATTGGTTTGAATATCATTCAATGTCGTTACCGTATTTTCCGTCCTATAAGGCGCACTGAAAAGCATTTGACAGTGCACCTTATAATCCGATGCGCATTATATATGGATCAATATTCAGATTTCTTGGACGTAGCATTTTAAATGTTCTGTCAAGCGCTTTCTTACAGCTGCAGTGGTTGTGACGGCTCTCTATAAATAAAACTGTGTGGTATTGTATTGTATTCCCGTTTAGCGTAGCTCCGTCTAGTGGATGCATAACGCAACCGCAGCCACTAATGTAGCTTCTATTCTATGCGCCTTATAATGTGCTGCACCCTATATATGAAAACTGTTTTAAAATAGGCCATTCATTGAAGGTGCGCCTTATACTCCGCCTTACCGTGTGGGAAAATACGGTACTTTACATGTGTTCATAAAAATAAAGATCGCATCTAATAGAAGCCTTTCCCTTACGAGATGCCTCAGACTGTTATCTGATGACTAAAAGGCTTCCTGCCATTTTTATGAAGAAATACAGTATTAGTATACTTAAATGGAGCGCATGCCATCGCATGTCAAAATTAATGCCGTTCTGATCCACTGTGAATAATTTGAGTGAATGATTTGTATCAATGACGGGTCCACTGGGTGTCTGAAACAAATCATTGATTTGCACTCTAATTCGAAACAAGGTCAGCATCCACACAGCATATTTAGAAGGCGTTAGTGGCTCCCGCCTCGGGCGGCATCGTAGAATTTAGCATCTCATTAGAAATAGTTATTCACATAGCAAACGGTGCCGCATCGCTTATCATCTGGTTTAAATTATTAAACTTCTCATGACCCTGAATTCAGACGCTACAGGCACCATAAGAAAGTGGAGTAGCATTTTGGATTCTTTGCATTCATCAGGCACCATAAAATAAATAACGAAATAAGTAATTCAATCTTGAATGAATAAAATGAATGCGACAGCTCAAATAGAGTGAGAATTGACGCGTAAATTCAAGGAAAAAAAAAAAAGAGCATAGATAACTGTTGAAAAAGAAATTTAAAAAATATATATGAAAGCATACATCCAACAAAATACACACCTGCGGGGCCTTGTGGCATGCAGCAAATTACACGCCTGAATAGAAAAACACATGCTGAAACTTAGGAAGGCTTATTCGTCCTTTTTTTTTTTTTTTTTTGCCATTGCACAAAATTATTGATCAGAACTAATAATTCAAGAACACACAAATAGAAACTGCTTATGTGAAGCACATTCCTTTGTCGTCATTACAAAAATTAAATAATGATGGACAGCATATATATATATATATATAGGCATCAGTAGATGTATGTACACAGTATATATATATATATATATACACACACGTATATACATGTTTTTTTTCTTGCCCATCAACACGTTTCTGTCTCCAGCCTTTGCATAGATAAAAATCTCTTCTTCATCATGCACAGTTTGGATTCGAAGGGCGTCCCCCGTTCCGTCAAGCCCCTGGAGTGTGTGTTCCATTGTCCTCGATTAATATGGAAAAGAAAGAATGCTGATGTAAAGCTGAGAAGATATTATTGAGCCAAGGCCCCTCCCCAATCGAACGTAACTATCCTTCCACTGATGGACACTGACGAGGCGTAAGCAGTTACATTCCGGCTGGATCGAAGTAATTAGGTGTCACTTGCGAGAGTCAAAATGATTCCACAGCTTGTTAAAACAGTCGAGCTCACCATGTTATATCCCTGCACGAGCTGCACTGACATCTTACATAAAATGCAATTATTAAATCTGTCAGGATTGCCGACCGCATCAATTTCCTTGGCTTGACCCACTTGCATAAATCGCACTCAAATAACCACAGTCTTGAAGAAAATATTTCTTCCAAAGCATATGTGCAATCGCAAGCTCTGTGAATTTGAGACCGAGAGACACTTGGACTCAAAAGTAGTGAGCGGTTGGCCAAGCAGGAATAATATTTGGCAAGAAAATGGATTTGTCCTTCATATCTCTTATGAGAAGTCACAAGAACACATGGTTACTTTTCTTTAACATTCAAACTTTTTTTATTTTTCATTTCCTTGCGTCGCTCAACCTTTGCTGTGTTTGTATTGGTTTCTTTTTGGTGCTACCATCTGTGCGTTCATCTTTTTGAGAACGTCCACATTTTAGGGAAATATAATTTCGACAGCAAGAGGTAAGTTGAAATCAAAGCTGCTGTTTAAATGTTGTTTGATGGGCCCGATGTTTTTGTTTTGGCTCCAGCTCCCAAGGGATGCTGAATGGTTTGAGCGGTTTAGACGAACGCTTACGCAGTTCTGCCAAGTACATCATCAGTCTGTTTTAACATCCATCCATCCATTCATTTCTCGATCCGCTTTATCCTCACAAGGGTCGGGGGGGGGGGGGGGCTGGAGCCCATCCCAGCCGTCTTCGGGCAGTCAGCGGGGGACACCCCCGAACCGGTTGCCAGCCAATCGCAGGGCACACAGAGATGAGCAACCATCCACACTCACACTCACACCTCGGGACAATTTAGAATGTTCAATCAGCCTGCCATGCATGTTTTTGGAATGTCGGAGGAAACCGGAGTACCCGGAGAAAACCCACACAGGCCGAGGGAGAACATGCAAATTCCACACAGGGAGGCTGCAGCCAGAATCGAACCCTGCACCTCTGCACTGTGAGGTTGACGCGCTAACCACTAGACCACGGGGCTGCCCCCCGTTTTAACATATGACCCCTTTATTCTTAACCGTGTAAAAATGTTGCTTGGAATTTGTTGTTGTGCTTATTTATGCTTTTACATTTGACAAGCGAGTTAAACCGTACAGGGCTGGAGTGTGCTTCTGCATGCAGGATGGATATTTGTCTTGGCAGGAAATCTAAATAAAGGCCAGCAACGGAGGTAAAAGGGGCTGTTTGGTTTAATCGTTTCGCTGCGGGGGGTGTGTGGGAAAATTCCAACCCGTATTCCCAGTTCCACAGCTGGAAGCTGCCCCCGTACAAACCACAGTTTGATCAGTTTGCCAGTGTGAGGCTCCAGTGGAGCATTTGAGGTTAATGGTCTTGCTCTTGTGAGCTAAAAATGCAGCAAGAGCAAGTTTACACTTTCGCTAGCCTGACTCATGCTGCCAGTCATGGGAACCAAACTGTGATCTCCCAGAATTTGCATCTCTAAGGGTACATTAAGGTGAGAATAATTTAAAAAAAAAAAAAAAAAAAAAGCCCATCGAGACTCAAGACGACAGCAAACATACACGTCACTGGAAACAGTTTACCTTATCTTCAGAGTTAATTATTTATTCCATTTATTTGATGTTTAAGTTCGGGCTGTGAGGGGATCACTGGTGACTGGAATAAAGAAGCGAAGTGGCCGCTAAAAACAAACGCGGAATCAGAAATTTCAGATTTGAGTCACAACGGGTCATGGCAGATATTGTCTCAAATTTTGGGAGCGAAATGCTACACCATGCCCTGGTTCATGCTTGGATTTTGCACACAGTTGAAACACGTTTGGAAATTTGGACAAAATAGCAGCACGCACAAAACGATCCAACTTTGAACTTTTAATCGCTTTGCACTGGCTCGTCAGGAAAGATAACGTGGCTCCGTGACAAAGAGGAAACCCTTCCTCCCCCGTCCTTAAAAATCCTTCAAAGTTTGACGAGCTAAATTAGCGATAACCCAAACATTACCTTAATCCTAAACAACCCTTTAAGAAAACTTTTTTTTTAAAATCAGAATCACAGTCGAAAGATAAAATGGGTCACCTCAGCTACCACCGCCACTTTTCTTGACTGTCTACGAAGAAAATGGAACCATCAATGATTTCTTACTGTTTCAAGAAGATTGGAGAACCTCTCTGGAATATTCTGAGCGGTCAGCGTTGGATGAAGCAACACAAGAAGTTCGACCTCCCGTTGCTAAATATTCTCACAGCAAACGACACGATTTGGGAAGCAGCCACATCGCGCAGTCAAATTTGCCTCAATTGCGATAAGAACGATTCCAAACTGTTACAAGATGTGATAAATCACTTTTTAATGATCGGTTCGCTGATTCATTATTATGCTGATCCTTTGGTTAAAAAAAATAAAAATAAAAACCCTCTCCGGCTCATTTAAAACGACATAATCATAATTTCCTTGATGGCCGCATCGTAGGAACCAAAGCACTTGATTTTACTGTCTTGCGGGGAGCTCTAAACACACACTCGAGTTACCAAATGCAACAATCAATACTTGGGATACTTTAGTTGATTTGTTTCTTGTTCCCCTCACTAACTTCCGCAGCTACTTCGGCGATGATCATTGTTGATGTTTGATTATCCTCACAAGACAAACAAAGCACGCGGAGCCTCGAAGCTACTCAGCTCAGCATCTGTTGATGATCTCCGGCTGGAAAAAGCAGGTTTCGATTTGTAGAACTTGGTCAGTAAGGGTTCTAAGCATGCCAAACCAATACCAGATGGGTGACGTGAACCACCGTGATCCCCTTATTGGGGTGTGCCATCGCCACATTTGCGTGCCTTAGCTCTGGACACTGCCGTATTTCAGTCCTGAGTTTCTCTGTGCTGCATCTGTTTTTTTTGCTATGCTCAAATAAAATTAATCTCCCTAATGTGACCAACAGCGACATGTAGAGTTGTAAAATCGAACCGTAACAACACTTCAACACCATCATTTTGTTAAATTTTTATTTTTTTTTTGACAGCTTTGTGAAGTGGGCTCGCAATTTCCCAAATCGAGATGAGCGGAGCCAATTCAAAGTTGGCACTGCGTTGCGTGGCGGCGGAGAAGCAGAATTTGACACAGTGCGATGCTATTGTGGTTCAGGGCAGACGTGAGGTGAGCGGTGCGATACAGACGGTGGAGGGGGGGGGGATAATCTCGTGTACCGTTTATGAGGACT